AAGATATAGTACTATTAAACCTTCTCTTTCTAAGAAAACGAGGCGCCATGCAATCATTTTTGCGTCGATTCAACTTTCACCATCAACTTTACACGTTGTGAATAGTCAAGCAATATCGAAGGAGCTTGTAAAATCAATATCAAGCATTATATTTTGCTCCAATATCACGCGTGATATTGAGAGCGTATGAGAGCGGAAAAATATCAATTTGCTAATGATCATGCCATCACTGATGGAGATTATTAGAAGTATTCAAGGGAACTCAAAAGCAAATCGGAAGGAATTTAAAGTAGCATTCCAATGGAATTCTGAAGTGCAAACAAAGTGCATTAACCATGCACCAAACTTAATGATGATATGACTACAACCTTGAAACTACACCTAACGATCACCTACGGCTGAAAATCTCTTAAATGTTGATCGATCGATCAAAGAGAAATTCTTAGAGATTCAAATCAAATTCCCGGTTATTTTATCCCGAATTTTTTTTCGATTCCCGGTTAGTGATACAAATGTTTGGGACTTTGAAGCTAACTCCAGCTTCAGACAATTTGTGACGCAATCGAAGTTGCAAATTTTTTATTCGGTTGAAAATCTTATGTCTTCTAGACCGTCCCCAAAACGTTGTCAGTAACATAGATTTTACAACGTTGCTCGGGTGTTGTAAATTTTAAGAGGTTATAATTCAATTGGATAGATGAATTTGATGAGAGGTGGGCCGAACAACAGAATACTTGCCTGTCATCCTCAGAGAGAAAAAAATAATATTGGAACAAATTTAAAGAATCTTGTGGTACAATCACACATCTTCGGACAATCTACATTACACTCATTTCCTACCTCTGTATTTGGTTACATATATCTTATTCCTTAGCAACCATCATAAATACAAGATATATTTTTTAGACTCTGAAAACCTACCATCGCTCCCAGAGCAAGAAACAATAACTTATTAATACCAAATTCAGGTATGAAAATAGCATAACTGGCAACCTAAATATGGTATTAGTGAGGTAAAATACCAAAAATAATACCTCAAAAATGTTCTACGAATAACGAGCTTATAAATATAATAACAGACGGATAACAGACGCTTTTTTGATTCCAGAATACCATAGTTTGTTATTTTGAAGGTCTTCTAATACCAATTCAGTAACTCTGTAAGGTGTTATTTTCTAAAAACTGAAAGATCACAATTTGTTATTTTGGTATTCATTTGATATTTTACAAAATATTTCGATAACTAAATAATATCAAAACAAGGTTTTATACCACAAGCATACCGAAATCTGGTATCATACCACATTAAGATATTCATTTGTTACCGATTAGCTATCGATTCCTTCTGGGTACGTCTCCTACTCTTTTTTTTTTAAGTTACAAATGACTTGAAATCCTATGATTTGCTTCATATGAAATTTTCTAAATTTGTCCAAAAATTTCACCAAAATAGTAATTTTGGTTGTTAACAGCAATTTTGTTTGGGTGAATTTGGAGAGCTGGAGGATGGGAATGTTATAGAAGAACTTCAAATGAAAATCCAGGATATCAAAATCCAATGAACTTCTGTTCGTGTCTTATCTAGTCTAGCATGCTTACACGCAAACCAAAAATCTATTACAATGAATGTTAGTTCCGTTTCCTATCATCCTCTGTTCATGAACATCGCAGCGAATGTTAGAAGTTGACCTTACAGGCGATGTAATGGTTTTTTGTCTTTTTCATTTCGTGTTCTATCTACGCTTTCGACTATACCAGTAAGCTTGTAGAACGACGAACATTGTAGAACATTGTAGAACGACGCACACACTTGCCTCGAATCTCTCCAGCAGAAAAAGCATACGAAGTCGAGTATACGAGAAAATGAGCGCTTCATATTTGCTTTTAGGCTATCCATATTCAGGAGCATGGAGAGAGCAGTGGAGAAAGCATAGGTCTGATAATCGAAGCGTTCTTGGATCGAGTCCAGTCGGCAATCGGATTCCTATTTTTTTCGATATAACTAATTTACCTCACTAATACACTCTAAATTTTTCGGTCTCCAATTTTCTTGCATTGGACCGCAGCTAGGTACTCGCATCCTCGGTTCATGCGGTCTCCACTAACATCCTCTGATGATGAATCCCACATAATTGTAAGCGAATCTTACATCCCTCGGTTGGGTGTAGGAGTTCTCTGGGGACAATGCGGATGGATACTCGGGGTTTCGGTGGTGAGTTCCAATGGTGGGTTTGAAACAAGGCTGATAATCACAGATGGACTAGAACTCACGGTCCGCTAGTGTTGGTGAGTTATTTGTCGTTAATGTTCATGAAAAGTTTACTATTTTGCCATAAACTGTGCCAAAACAAATAAGTTTACGGGGGGATTTGGACTAATTTGGACCTGTTTTATACGATCGGAAGGTCTATGCTGGTCACAAATGCCTTGCCAAATTTATTTCTACGCAAGTGATGTGAATTTCGCGAATAAACACGAGGAGTGTTGATTATAGCAAAACTTGAAATATACATTCGTCTTAGTTCATTTAAGTAAACGCACTAACACTTCTTCCTTCTGTGGCCCCTTTGATTATCTGCCTTGGGGTTGAAAAGATTCAGTACCACTGCTTGAAAGTTCCCGGGTAAACATGTCCGATCTATGTAATTGACCTTAAAAGAAATCTGGCATCACTGCCTGTATATTATATGGCAGTTTAGGCCCACGCACATTGGGTACGTTGGTGATCGGTTGCGGCAAATCTGACAGTTAAAAAATCAATTTGGCTATCATTTTCCCGTAATGTATAACTAACTGTTACAATGTGCTTGCGCTTTAAATTTGTGGTGGCGGTATTGTTTAACGCCGAATTGAATGACTTATTTCAATATCCAATCGAGTTTCCATATCGAGTTTCCGTCTACCTAGAAGCTTACTGTATTTGGCAAAGCTATTGGCAAGATCTAATTGAGGGTGGACAGCTAAAACTTGATAACTCGGAAAAATGGTTCAGATGTATAAGACATAATGGATGATAGGTAGCTTAGTTCTGAATTCGGTCACTAGACGACGCATTTGGCTTATTATTACAAGATGGTCAGTCGGATTTTAACAGGTGGCGCTAGTGTGCCATTTGGTTCCTAATTGCTTAGTATGATTTGACATCTCGACTAGATTAAATTATGATCTATTGGATGGTGGACAGTTCAGTTCATTAGGCAAAAAATTGCTTATTCATACTTGACAGCTCGATTTCATAGAAGGTTGCAGACGTTGGAAAAGCTGTTCAAGTGGACAAGACCTATTGGATAGAGGACAGTTCAGATGAGAATTCATTCACCAGGCGGCGCTAGTATTCCACATGACTTCTAATAAATTGCTTTAACGTGACAGCTCTTAAAAATTGATCAGATGTATAAGACCTATTAGAAGGTAGATAGCTCAGTTCAACATTTGTTAATTGTTGATGGACAAGATCTATTGGATGATCAGTTTAAATTTATATTAGCCATTTGGCTTCTAATTGTTTACTATGATTTGACATCTCGACTACTGTTGCTGTCCTTGGCTAAATTGTTCAGATGAATAAGTTCTATACAGAGTTCTCCAATTTAGGCCCTACTGTGCCATTTTACATGTAATTGCTTGCATCAACTTGACAGCTCGACTTAATAGAAGGTTGCAGTCTTTGAAAAAGTTGTTCAGCTGGACAAAACTTATTGGCTGATGTTTCTCTCAGTGCAACATTCATGCACTTGGCGGCGGTAGAATGCCTTTTAAATTTGACCTAACAGGTTTCGGTCAGTTAAATAGTGTGTTTGAAATATGTTATGTTTAAACTATTAACCTAAACCTTCAATTTCATTGATTTATCCAATGCTTCTGGAATGCATAACGTATTCTGAAAATCGCACTAAATTAATCAACGTTTCAGTTTGTAAATCAACTAACCTTCCCTTGTGCAGGACCATAGGATAGTCCCACATAAAGTGAGTACATTCTGCTTCATGAAGTATCACTCAAAGCTACGACTAGAGATAAAAAAAGAGACATAAATAAGTCCTTTTTTCATTTCGTCTCCTCAGATGCAATGTCCACACGAATACTGCTGATGCTGCTACTGCCTGCAGACGAACATTTCTTTGTGACGTCTGCTGCATAGCGAGGACTAAACGGACCATCCTCCTCGTCATCCCCACCATCATTAGTACATATTCTCACCAACTGCTCCCAATGGGCGTATGAAGTGCAGGAGGAAAAAAATGCTTCACAACCCAATCTTTGTCATCTCATCACTGCAGAAAAATCGATTCAGGTTGAGAAATTGTCGCACCGTGTTGCATTAAACTCATATGAAAAAAAAAAACAAACCTGCCTACCTGACAGCCGACACCACAAACGACTTGTTTAGTTCATGTATCGTTGATTTTCAGTTCATTACGATATTAATTGATTTCGACATAAGTCCTTTTCTTCAGATTCAGTTCAGCACCGTCAATATGAAGAAGGATGTTTCACGTGAAAGGATGAATCATCCACTCTGGAACGACCGCAAAAAATACTCCTGATGACGACGATGTCGACGTAATGATCCTGCATGTGAGAGAGAAAAATGTTCTCCCGCACCAGATGCAAACCGTTGCGAGAGAAGTACGGAACACTGCCAATTCACAAAATGGCGATACAGAGTTTTTCCACTTTCAAATGATTTTTCACACAGTCCATATCTAACGAAATAACACGTAACAGTCCACACATCTATTGTTTTGTAAAAAAATAAAAACCAAAATCCATGATCACATTTTCCAAGATGGCGGCCGACTGTTTTTCACTACGAAGAAAAATCAAATATGGAACCCAACACAACCAGCCACAGACATGACCTTTATCAAGTTTTTCAAGCTGAATCTTCAGGAAAATGCTTTTCAATCACTATTCTAACAAATATACTACTCTAAACGGTTGGCGAGGAGCTACAAAGGATTACAAATATTTTTCACCAACTAATTAGCAACACTTACTGTAGAAAAGATTAGTTATTCAAATTTGCTTCTTCGACAAGTTGGTCCACTTTGTCGTCGCAACTAATCACGCTTTTCGCACTTCACTTCTTTTCACTCTATCAAAAAACCACGGAAAACTTTCACCAAATTGCACAATTTTCAACCGAAAATTTCTTTAGTTTCACCTTGCACAAATCGATTCCTGTGTGCAGAAAATGGGCTGCCACCACACACAGCAGGATGAGGGGCAAAAAACTATCAATAATCCACACACCGTTGTGCACTCCGGGTTTTCCGTTTACAAATCCATACCGTCCGAAGTTTAGTGCGAAACTAAACTGGAACAATCGGAGTTGGCTTCTCCGAGAGCAGCCAAAACCCCCGAGTCACTCGGGTGACGATGAACGAGGCGAGGCGAGTCTGGCACGGAAAATAGGAATGACGGTATGTTGCTGTTGCTGGTGCTTTCCGCGCGCGTGATTCGAACAGTCTGAAAGGAACTGTGGAAGGATATCGCGAGCTGTGTGATGGTATGATGGGGTCGTCGAAACATATAGAAGGGGGTCGCGTGAGCGAGTTACCGAAGACCGAATTCCGAGAGATGGCAAATGAATACGAAGAGAACGCGCTGCTGGACATGCGCCGTCCTGGCAGTCTGGTGAAGAGTAGGCAGCGATTTGCCGTTATCGATTCCAAACAGTGTGACACTACGATATCGCCTTATCAGGGTGTTGGAGGGCTTTCTGGTAGAGAGACACGGTGGAACAATTTAGGCTGTGAACCATTTGCTGAGTTAAAGTTAACTCGTGGTTAAAAGTGACATTTCGGAAGTTCTTTTCTATGTTCAAAAATCCCCGTGGTGTCGATCGACCGGCTTCTTTCGAGCCACGGTTGTCAAAGTTTAACTTCTTGTCTGTCAGAAATAACCATGCTCGGATAGCAGGGTTCGTCGATAACTTTCGATCTGTCAAATTTTAACCAACCCCCCGTCTCGATGAGTCTCATCGTCGCCCACTGGTCACCATAGCCGGTCGAACTCCAAACGAAACTAGAACCGCACTACCATTCATACTGGCGACAACGCTCTGATGAGACAACGAAACCTTACCCCGAAGCTCCTCCCCTGATCCTATCCTTCGACAATGTACCTCTCTAACCTGGAGTAAGTCGCGAGAATTCGGCCCAACTCCTAATAGACATAGAATTAAGTGAATTTTGTTACAAACAAAGAACAATACTATCGGCTCCGTAAAGCTAACGCGATTGAGCCTTCCAAATAAACGAACTAGTTAAAAAAAATTTAACCAAAAGTCAAAAAAATCGCCAAATGTTTCAGAGCTTTAATCTGGCATTTTTTTTTAGCATAGCTTTATCTGCAATGGAACGCCCGCTATGTGCAGTGGATGCATGGATCAGTTTCAGTAGGGGAGACTGGACACACTTGGTTTCTCGAAATTATGAGAATATTTTTTTCAGATATGATTTCACAAAGTTTCGTTTGTGCTGACATTTGCGTCAGATTATGGAAAAAACATATTTTTGAGAGCATTTCGTATGTTTTCACTCCTTTAAGTGCACCCCACATGACAGACGTTTCGACAATACTTCCATCAATATTTTCATGTCAATATATTCAACAATATTTTCGGGGGGTCATCAATACAGAGTCGCTCCTAACTAACATTTTTGTACCCGATGGAATATTCTGAGTCAACTCACAACCATCTTGACAAAAGTTGCCGAGGAACAGACCCCATCTGCTGCTATAGTCAAACAGAAGGGGAAAATGAAGGCAAATTTTGAAACTTGAAATCATTTTTTTTTTTCCGTCCATATATTCATCAATATTTTTGTCGGCAGTATTGATAATACTTTTTTCCCGTGTGGTGCCTGTTTTAGACTTTTATTCAATAACCTTTTGGATTTTCATTCAACGTATAAAATGTTCACAGCGTAAAGCTGTTTGACAGCTTGATTTGAAGTTGAAAGCTCGGTTAGGGGACACTTTATCTTCCGCCATCGAATAAGCTTCTTCCATTAGAACAGGATTCACTTCTAATGGTTTCCAGATATGGCAATATCGGCATAGTGCTTCCATAGCAGAAATGAAGGCAAATCGTGGTCTTCACTTACACACTGTTCACGAGATGTTTGCTTCCAAATTCGAATGGATCGACCGAGAAAACATCAGATGATGAGCAATAAACACCACACAATGGTTGCTGTCAAGTATACAGACGATCGCGAGGTACGTTTGCTTCTGTCGACAACAAAGAGAATACTGAACGTGGTTAAATGCTTCGCTTTATTTTTTGATTCGATTCTAAAACTTCAATAATACCGATTTTCGTCGTCTTCACAAAAGAACACAACGTAGGGCCGCTTCTCAGCCGAAACAGTGACTATGTGCGGAAAACAATTTTTAATGTCTAAGGTTCCAATGCACATTACAAAAATGTAGCACGAAAAAAATGATAAAATATTTGACTAAAGGGTGATACGGTCAAAATTTGGTCAATATCAACTTGACGTATTTCTTTCAATTTTGCATTTAAAAAACCTGAACACCCCTCATTTTGAAGGTGTGTGTGTGTAGAATGTTGCTCCTATTTTGATTTTGGAATTCACTCTTCAGTTGTCAAAATGCCGTCCAAGCAAGAAGAACAGCGTATCAAAATTTTGCTCGCACATCGCGAAAATCCGAGCTACTCGCACGCAAAGTTGGCAAAATCGCTAAAAGTTGCCAAATCAACCGTTACAAATGTAATTAAAGTGTTTGGGGAACGTTTGTCGACAGCCAGGAAGTCTGGATCGGGGGGAAATCGAAAACCGGAAGCCGCTGAGGCGACAAAGAGAGTTGCCGGTAGTTTCAAGCGAAACCCTAACCTCTCTCTCCGAGATGCCGCAAATAAGCTGGGTGTATCGTCTACAACCGTGCATCGAGCCAAAAAATGAGCCGGACTATCGACTTACAAGAAGGTAGTGACTCCAAATCGCGATGATAAACAAAATACGACGGCCAAAGCGCGATCCCGGAGGCTGTACACGACGATGCTGACGAAGTTTGACTGCGTGGTAATGGACGACGAAACCTACGTCAAAGCCGACTACAAGCAGCTTCCGGGACAGGAGTTTTATACGGCAAAAGGAAGGGGAAAGGTAGCAGATGTTTTCAAGCACATGAAACTGTCAAAGTTCGCAAAGAAATATCTGGTTTGGCAAGCCATCTGTACCTGTGGCTTGAAAAGCAGCATTTTCATAGCTTCCGGGACTGTCAACCAAGAAATTTACGTGAAAGAGTGTTTGAATAAACGTCTGCTGCCTTTCCTGAAGAAACACGGTTGTTCCGAACTGTTTTGGCCGGATTTGGCATCTTGCCATTACGGTAAAAAGGCCATGGAGTGGTACGCCGCCAACAACGTGCAGGTGGTTCCCAAGGACAAGAACCCTCCCAACACGCCAAAGCTCCGCCCAATTGAGAAATACTGGGCTATTGTCAAGCGGAACCTAAAGAAGACCAAAAAAACTGCTAAGGGCGAGCAGCAGTTCAAGCAAACTGGCTTTCTGCGACGAAGAAGGTGGACAAGGTGGCTGTACAAAATCTGATGGCAGGGGTCAAGCGTAAGGCCCGGCAATTCGGATTTGGAAAAGCGGAAGCCTAACTGAATATTTTTCCTGAATTTTATACTAATTGAACTTGAAAAAGAAATTTAATTTGATTTTTTAAATAAACGATTTCACCGATTTACACGCGTTTTCCCTTGACCAAATTTTGACCGTATCACCATTTAAAGGTTAACGTTCTTCGATTTCGGACAATTTTAATGAGTTCATTATGACCAATAAAGGGTGTCCCCCATCAAATTTCCCATTGCGTATTTTCTCTTGAAAATTTGGATAGAAGTAGTTTAGAGTGTATTGTTTACACTGTATTTTTATCGCTGTCAGTTTTTCGAATGTTGGATAAAATGGCGTCACCCGAAAAGCAACGTAGCGATTTGCTTTTGCGCAGGCACCTGGAAAATCCTCAACTCTCTCGTCGGGACATCGGAAAACTACTCGGAATCGTGCAGTCAACGGTGAGTCGTTTGATTTAACGTTACTACGAAACTCTGAGCATCGAACGGAAGGAGAAATGCGGTCAGAATGGATGTTCTATTTGTGATCAGGATCACAAACGTGTCGTGAAAGCGAATCTGTCCAAGTCTTTCGTTCAGAGAGCCAAGGACCGGGAGAGACTGCATACGTAAAAAGTGCAGAAGGCTCCAAATCGCGACGAACGGCAAAATACGGTGGGAAAGTCAGCCAGATGCTGACGAAGCCTCATTGTCTCATCATGGATGAAGAGACTTACGTCAAGGTGGACTTCCGGTAGCTACTATTCTTCATCGCTCAGCACAAGTTTGATGTTCCGGAGGAAGTAAGGAAGCAGAAACTTTCAAAGTTTGCCAAGAAATACATGATTTGGCAAGCGATCTGTTCATGTGGCACACGGAGTGCGTCGTTCGTGACTACCGGGACTGTAAACGGGGAGATCTACCTCAAGGAGTGTCTACAGAAGCGTCTGCTTCCTCTGTTGAAGCAACACGAGGTCCCTACGATCTTCTGGCCGGATCTAGCTTCGTGCCACTATTCAAATGTTGTCCTGAAGTGGTACGAAGCCAACGGGGTCACTTTCGTACCCAAGGCCTGTTGTAACAGTCCTGCATTGATCATCCAAGATGACACAATGGACGTTGATTACTTAGAAAAGAAGTGATTGTATTGATTTTAAGTTATAACGAAGATGCTTCTTTGTTTTCTGTTTTACTGCTGACGACGAGGACTGCTTTGAGAGGTTCATGCCCAATCAACTTTAAACTAGTTTTAAATTTGAATCGTAGTGAGGTGACTTGTAACACTTTTCAGTTGCCGCGGATACACTTGTATGACAAACTATGAGCATGAGCATTATTTGTATAATAAATTATGAGCACATCCATGGAGCGGTTGTTGGATGTGCTTATAATTTATTACACAAATAATGCTTATGTTCATAGTTTGTCATACAAGCGTATCCGCGGCAATAATGTGACCATAAAATCTATAAAAATCTAAACGCATAATTTTATATTATTAGCACCTGTGTCGTGCACAGGTTGCACATGTGGACGCGACGCCACAATTACAGGCATAATATGAACAGTGTATTAGTTGGATTTTCACTCACGGCGGAGCTATTCGTGTCTCCTGTAGACAGGTAGGAACAATCATTTACATTCATTTCGTGCATTAATTTACATTCATTTGCCTCTTACTTTTTTCAATAACAGAATTCCTTAAAAAAATGCATGAAGCTTTTGTGAATAACTCAAATCGGTATCTCTCATGCATCACGAACTAGAGCAGGCAGAATGTGTTATTGTTTTTCACTATTTCACTGAGAAACGATGGTGGGAT